CAGTTAGCCATATATAATATATATATATAATATAATATATTATATACTATATATATCAATATATATTATATCTATATAATTATCATATTTCTCTACTGAGCAGAGAGAGATAGAGACATAGAGGGCGTGATGATGAGGTAGAGTGAGAGAGAGACAGTCTGGAGTAGAGACAGAGTCGAATGAGTCGATTAAGATATTAGAGAGCGACGAGAGAGAGATTTTTTATTATCAGCTCACCAGTGTATTCTTGGAAACAACATTTTTGGTGGTGATTTCTTGATCTTCTCCTCAAAAAGATCCTTCTTGTTCAAGAACAGGATAAATGGAGGTCTCAGTAAACCATTTGTTGTTACAGATAGAGTCAAACAGCTTCATACTCTCCATCATTCGGTTCTGAAAACAGATTAACAAAGACAAAAAAGTTAGCCCTTTGTTGTTGCAGACAAAATCAGTTTCATAATCCCCATCACTGTCTTCTGAAAACAGACTTTAAAAACACAAACATTATCCATTTGCTAAATAGGCGACCACCAGATTAAGAAGCAGAACCTTATATCTCCCTCAACACCCAAAGTGGTCAAGAAGAAGAGCCCACCTAGCAATAGGTGTTTCATCCTTTTTAGGATGAAATTTTTTTGTCATTTGAAGCCCCACCCTGGCCAGGGGCCGCAATATAGGCAGGCCATAAATATGGCCAATTGTCTGAAAGCGGTTTCTGGGACCTCTCCACAGTGATCCTCATCCACATAGTGGCACTTTGTGTCATCATGTGTTTATCGCTTGTGTGATGTCCTGGTGGGGTAGAAAGTCAGTCAGTCAGGAGGATGAGGATGAGCAGAAGAGGAGGAGGAAGGGATGAGCAGAAGGAGGAGAAGAATCTTTATATGTAACTACCTTACATATTTAGCAATCTTCCATCTTTCCATATGGACAGTATTACAAAGGGAAGTGTTAGGGAGCTGCGTGGTCTCGAGGTATGGTGTCTGCCTTGAGTGCTGGAGGTCCCAGGTGTGGACTTTAGTAATTTACCCTGGTCTCTCGGTAGTAAGATCGGACACCCGTGTGTACTGTTGCGCACGTTTTTAAAAACAAAATCGCTTGGCAGTTGGAAATAAAAAAAGAGTAGCCTAACGGCGCTGCTGAGGTAAAATTTGGGAGTTTAAAAATTTACCCAAAGTACTTCAGGATTCCTGCCCGGTGCTACGGAGTTCATGCACTGCACTGAGATTCGTCAAACTCAGGCAGGCTTGAGTCTGAAGTAAAACGGAGCACTTATGGGTTACTACCCTTGTGCCATGATGTTGATCCCTCATCTAAACCTAAGCCTTCAATGGAAAGGCATGAGAATCATAGCACATGCCAATGTAACTAGTATGGCCAGTTAAAACCTGTAAGTTCTTTTTCTCCATAGCACAAATCCTAAGCAGTATTGTACATACCATGTGTTGCCTATTCAGCATGACTCTCTCTCTATCTCTCTCTGCCTTGTGTACTCCAAAGGAATACTGGTACTGGCACCATCAGAACTGGAACTCTGTGCTATCAGCTAAGGGGGGGGATGGAGTGCTTATGGAAATGCCCTAAGTGCTGCGACCTAAATTCTAAACTTGCCTCAACTCCACAAGAACACGTCTGGATCAAAGCATGCTGTAGAAGTTGCCAGATAAAAGGAGCTCTATCTGCTAGCTGAAGCTTTCTCCCTAGATCACCCGCTACCAAAGGCAGAAAGCCTGCCTTAACACACTGAGCTTTCAGATTGAATTTTTTTTTCTATGTCCTAATGACTTTCTTGTGTGAGCTGGCTGAATTGATCCCTCCACTGGGAGACCAAGAGCAGAAGAGGGAGAATGCCTTGGGGGAAGGGGGGATGTTTATTATTTAGTTTAGACAGTACATATTTTCATGCGCGGCGTCCGTGGCTAAGGCGTTGCGAGTCCGACTCGTAAGCCAGCATACTGCGATCGAAACCCACTGCAGGCTGCGTGGATTTTTGTCGTGGTATTGGACGTCGCAGGTTGACCCAGCCCACATTACCCACAGAGTGCTGATGGTCTGTAAAAATATGGGACGCTCTGCCCATATGCCCGATGCGCCGAAAAGGGATCTTTACTTTTTTTTATTTTTTTTTAAGATTTTCATGCGGCATTTCCTGCATGTTGAGCAGAGCCTCATAATTAACGTGTTATTCATCACAATTAATGCTCCTGACAGTTCACAACGGATGGCCGAGGCATAAGTGGTTGCCACTTGTCAAGGCCTAATTTCCTGAGCTGGTCTGGTTTGACTGTGTCGGCCAAGCACAAGTGCCAGGAAGTGAGGGGGCTGTGGCTACATGAACAAACTCTCTCTCTAGACATCATGTGCCGCTCTGATCAGCGTAGGCTGTTAATCCTGTCTACTGTTAAACCGTAGCTATCCTGTCTACAGTTAAACTCCTGTTCTATTTGAGGTTAAATCATACTTTCTGTCTACAGTTAAACTAGTTATCCTGTCTACAGTGAAGTTCAGGACAAAAATCTACCATTTCCTGATCCTCAGGCCAATGTCAGGTCCATACTCACTCATAGCCACAATAAAGATAATAGCTGTCACCCCTTCAAAACAATGGATCCATTTCTTCCTCTCTGATCTTTGACCTCCCACGTCAAACATTCTGAAATGAGTGACCACACAGTTGACTTATTAGGCACCAAACAATTTATTACACATTTCTTAATTACTCTATATTTGGTACATATTTCTGAATTTATTTTTTCACACTATTCATTCATACATCAGAGCTATCACAAATGTTACCTTAGTTACCTTCTGTCTAAGGTTACACCATATTTATAATGTCTAAAGTTAAACCAGAGTTATCCTGTCTACACTTAAACCAGAGTTATCCTGTCTGAAGTTAACCCAGAGTTATCCTGTCTATAGTTAAATTAGAGTTATCCTGTCTACTGTTCAACCAGAGTTATCCTGTCTAAAGTTAAACCAGAGTTATCCTGTCTACAGTTAACCCAGAGTTATCCTGTCTACAGTTCAACCAGAGTTATCCTGTCTAAAGTTAAACCAGAGTTATCCTGTCTACAGTTAACCCAGAGTTATCCTGTCTGCAGTTTAACCAGAGTTATCCTGTCTACAGTTAAACCAGATTTATCCTGTCTTAAGTTAAACCAGAGTTATCCCGTCTACAGTTAACCCAGAGTATTTCTGTCTAAAGTTAACCCAGAGTTATCCTGTCTACAGTTAAACCAGAGTTATCTTGTCTACAGTTGAACCAGAGTTATCTTGCCTACAGTTGAACCAGAGTTATCCCTTTAACTTTTAGTCTCATAGCTGCATTTTTTAAAATTCAAAATTCTATTATTGTTATTCTAGAGTACAAAAACTGTGAGACAGAAAGTAATTAAGCAACATGTGAGGACTGAAAGAGCCAGTGACAAACACTACATGATAAAAATAACATGGTTTCTCAATGCCCTGTCTTAAAAGGACGACTTGGAGGACGCTGACGTTAGCCTTTACTAGAATATTTCTTTCTGTGTTTTTTGTCCTGTTCACTGGCTGTGAATTCGGATGGAAAGTCCCAGTTGTTTGTCCTTTCATACTTTGTCTTCATACCGGGACCTGAGTTTTGCGTGTACATCTGTTTTACTAGCTTATTTTTGTGCAGATCTTGTTCTCTGCCTCTTGGGCAGATGTACTCCGACTTCAAAGGTCAAGACTGATACAGCCTACTGGGACAGAAGGGACTGTGCTGTTTGTGCAGATGGAGGACAATAAGGATACGAATATGAATAAAGGATAAAGATGATTGCAGATAGGTTCAGAGTGAATCGACAGTCCAGCGCAGACAGCCCAGTCGCACACAGCTCTCGCTCGCTCGCTCTACCGCCCGATAAAGCCACGTGTGTCTCTCGTTAGCTTGCTAACTACCCATTCGTAGCCTGTTTATCGATAGCTAGATACTGGTCAGACTCGCTTGATTTCGGCTGAGTTTGGCTCGACTACGCTAACGGTTTTCGTCTGCGTTTGGGTTATTAGCGGCCCGGGAGCACATCATTGTTGAGGAGCCAGTATAGCTTTCATTTGTTAAACGATTGTCTCGAGAACTAACAAGCCTTGCCAGACTCTGCAGGGACCGAGCAATCAATTGCCGCCCGACCAACACAGCTCTTTACCAGCCACAGCCACACGAAACCATGGCCCGTGGTAAGAAGAATCCTGTCCAGCGCCAGGACACCAGTGCAACCTCGGCCAAAAAGGAGGAAGCACCTGTCGCCGCACCAGTACTGACGATGCCAGAACCGGTCGACAACCCAGAGGAGACACCTGCCCAGACGCCGCCAGCCCTAGATGTAGGCCCTATCGAGGCACCCGTCTATCCAGAAGCCGCCCCAGTCGTGGCGCAGGGAGCCACCGACACCCGCACACTAAGACAGCAACAGCAGCAGCGATCAGGTACCCACAACACCGAGATTCTGCAGTGCGCATGATGTAACAAGGTGTGGCACTCTGCCTTGTCATGTCGAAGCGGCCCGTCGTGCCGTTACTGTTCCGGCCCACATCCATTCAAGGAATGCCCTCTGGCGAAAGTGGATCCGGACTTTAAGAAGCCCAACGCAAGTAGAAGGTGTTCTAATTGCTCCGGAGTACACAGCGCTAGGTACATGGGGTGCCCATACTTGAAAGAGATCAAGAGAGCGATGGCGAACACCTCCACTAGGGCAACGCACAACCAAGAGCCGATACGAAGACCACAGGCACCCAGGCCGACAGTTGTTAACAATCACGAAATCACACAACTGAGAGAAGAAATACAGTCCCTGCGAAAAGAAAACGCAAGAATCAATTCACTTAGGACTCAAGATAGGGACGAGATGATTGACCTGAGAAGCATCCTACAGGCATCCACTTGAGACCCAGAGGAGGCTAGAGAAGGAAAGCGCAGAAATGGCGACATTTAAAATCGACCTGATGTCCAACCTAACCGAACTCAAGAAGATGAAGGAAGCAAATGCCGTAGCCGCAAAAGAACTGGAAGACAGCCACAAAAGCCTACTGTCCGAGGTCTCCACCATCAAAAAAGACCTGACAGACACCAAAGAAAAGCTAAAGAAATCAAGCGAAGAATGCGCCAAAATGAGCGCCGCACTGCAAGCCACCAATGAAGCAGTGAGCGACATAAAAAAACTCATTGAATCCAAGCAAGAGGAGGAAGAACAAGAAACTGAACCAGTCTCTGAACCGGACTACTTTCAAGGGAATGCTGAAGTGGAAGAATACGCAAACCAAACCTTGGAAATGCCAGCCTTCGTCCCCCACGACAAAATAACCCAGGCATACATCGATGAATTGGTGAAATGTATGAATGATCTGATAGCACCAAGCAGAGGAGAGTGGGCCGGCTCCGCTGGATGGAAGCTCCTTCATTATGACCCGGAGAATGACTTCTACGCACCAGACGTGACATACCCACACCTCTACGAAAGACACAAGGACTACGAAAGCAGACTACTCAAAGAAATGCTTAGAGCCCACCAAATCATCAACACGAGAGCCACACCCAGTCATGTAGTGAACCAGCCCAACTACAAACAGAGGAACCAGCGAAAACAATGACACAGTCTCGCAACCAAGAAACCATAGCAGTCAAGACGCCACCAAAACAAGACCCAAAACCAAACCAAAACAAGCAACCAATCAGAACCAGCCAAGCCGCCATGACAGCCCACCAGACCAGCTCACCGGCACGAAGAACCCAAGCTAAGCCAGGCATGATGTCTCCCACCCAAAGCACCCCCTCCCACCCGTTCGAGGCCACCCCGGCAAACTTTACTAGTCCTTCTCAGGACTAGTAAACTTCCACTCCCAATCACGGCCAACATCGCAGAAACACGCAAGGAAACTACCTCTAGACGCAGTTCGTCACAATTGGAAAAAACTATTGGATATTCCAAACAAATAAACGCAGTCCCAAAATAACTGCCGCTCACTATTGGAGCTGGTTAGGGTGACAGGAACTTTTTTTTTTTTCAAACAAACCGCAACCAGATAGGTTCAGAGATGCATGTCTAAGAAGAGGCACAAGAAATACATGGAATGGCAACAAAGGTAATACTATTTCTGTCTAAGAATTTTCTTAACACAAGCAGGTCTTCCTGCCGTACATTCCAGGGAATGGAGAATGAGAAAATGAGAAGCAACAAAGAAATTCATAATCTGTTTAAATCACCACTGATCACTGGTATCATGAGAGCTAGGAAGACTTGCTTCTTCTTCTTCTTCTTGTTCAGCATTCAGAGCCTGGAAGACTGGAAGGTTGGGGCATATTGAAACAATGTCAGATGACAGAGAAGTAAAAACTGTATACACACGGGAGATGAATGGTCGTAGACCACGAGGCAGTCCAAGAAGACGATGGAGAGATAATGTCCAGGCAAACCTGCAAACACTTGGTGTCACCAAGTGGAAAAAGAAGGCCAACCACAGAGATGAATGGAGGTGAGTGATATCTGCAGCAATGAACCTCAAGGCTCTGAATGCTGAACAAGAAGAAGAAGAAGAAGCAAGTCTTCCTAGTCACACTGGCCACAGAGATGGGCTGTGATTCTTATGTCTAGCTGTAAAAACTATCACCGTCATCAATGAAAAAGTCAAAGAAAGTAAACACATGGAGGCTTTCAATTTCGTGGAAAATGATTTTTCACTCAACAGACTGAGTATCATTGGGTGTACCAATTGGAGCCGTGAGACAGGAAAACCATGCGGGAGCCACCAGTTATGACATCAGCCAGAACAGAATGGAACTCAGGAGGAGATCGGTGCCCCTGTGATCATGTTCGATAAAGATGAACTCTAACATGAACTATGAACTATCGTTCTCAAAGACAGAAGGGTCTCAACAATAAATGTGATGACTGGAACTGCTTCTCTCTGAAAGTGTGTTATATCTGCAGGTTTTGATAATTCTGCCAGCCTTACATGGGCCGCTACATCTTTATGCTTTTTGTTACTAATAGGAAAGCTGTCGTGGTGTAGCAGCTAGACACTAGCCTGTGGGTCCTTAGGTCATAGGTTGAGGTCCTGGCGAAGCCTGACATTTAAAAAAAAAACTTTATTCCCAGGTCAATCCAGCCTTAAATAGGTACCAGGTAAAGTAATAGGAAATAATGGCAGCTAGACTGATGGTGACCCCATCACCCAGCGAGTGCCAACTGGTCTATAAAATATAGGTCTAGCCCTGTATACCCAATATGCCTGAAGGAATTGAAGAGGGTCCTTTACTGCCCCAATAACATTATTACATTTTTCAAAGGTTTATGGAGCCCACATCCATCCCCTCATATGATTCACATAAACGAACAAATAGTGTTATTTTCAAAAAGTTAAGAATTGAGCATTTGACCTGTCCAACATTATGCACTTCCATTAGCACTACTTGCAAACTGTTTTTCATTCATATGTCATTTCACAAGTAATCATAAACATTTTTAATAAACTCTAAGTCTTAACCACAAACACTAGGGTACTTACATAACTAAACTACAATAAAAATAATAATAATAATGAGCAGCATAATTTAAACATCATCGACAACTAAACAGTAATTACTAATGCTGGAAGGTGCTTAACTGGCACCCATATTTTTAAAGAATAATAATTCTTCTGTCCACATACAAAGACAGGTACAAGCCATAGTGGCACAGCGGTAAGCATCTGTTCGTCAAATCAGTGGTCCTGATTTAATCCACACAGCAGAGGATACATGTATCCAATACGAAGCCACATTATTCTTTTGTTCAGCTAGTATGGCTACGGATTTCAGCCAGGGTCAGTGATTACTGTTTCCTTCTTCCTTTTCTTCTTAGCATTCACTGGCTGTTAATGCAGGTGAAAAGTCCTGGGCGTTAGTGAACTTCTGAACTTAAGTTTTGTGCAGATGCATGCTGACTTCAAAGGAAACACTCCTAATTAGTCACCTTTAACATTCTTGTTAGGGGAGGATGTGGATCTATTCTCTCCCCCCCCCCCTTCCAATGGGGTCAAGTTGAGACAGAACTAGTGCTAAACTACATCAAGAGACAACAGATCAGATGGGTTCACACACGTCAAGACTACCAAAAGATGGAGCATCAGGGATGGCTTGTAATCTTGGTCACGATGTAATCAGAGCTAGAGGTCGCCCATGCACGCTACGGAGAGCACCCACCAAGATTCTCCTAGATACCTCCTCAAAACCTGACATGGAAAGGCAGAACATGATCTATAGAAAAGAAGAAAGAAAAGGCAAGGAGCAAAGAGCGCAATCACGCTCAACACCCACACGTATGTCATGCCTTACTTGAAGTGTAAATCCTTGAAGGTGAAATGGGTTTCAACAATGCCCGTTGTTTTAACTCTGGTCCGCAATACATCCTGCTCTGTTGGTATGTACCCTGGGGCAGAAATTCTGTCCAAGGCATTCAGGTAGCTGAAACAGTTTCATATTTGGAGTCAACTGACAGGTAGGCAGGCAAGTGAGTAATCATGTATGTAGTTAGAAAGGTAAGTAGTTAGGTAGTGAGGTAGGTGAGCAGTGGGTTAAGTAGCTAGGCAGATAGATAAGTAGAGAGGATGGCACATAAGTAGTTCAGTAGATGAGCAGACAGGTAGACACTACATGCCTATGTAGGTAGGTGGAATATTGAATGTTGAATTAAGAATTAACATAAAAAAACTTGGGACACTCCCATAAGTGCTGTCCCCATCTTCAGCAGCAAACGAAGAGTTCCATTTCTGGTGGCACCAGTAGCCGTCTGATTGTTTATCCGTCTTATCCTTCTCCTGAGTATTGAGCGTCGGCCACGTCCCCTGGTAACTCCTCACAGCGCCATTCTCCTCAGACGGTAATGATCTATCTGTGCATTAGCACTTTTAAATCATTCCCAAAGGGCCCTCAAGTGGTGCACAGCCAGTCAGTCTATCTGCCTGCTCATTTCCCAACACACCAGCATCACCCAGTGAAATATCTAAAGGATGCTAACTACCCAGAACCTCTAAAGTGAAGTTTGCCACTCTGCACAAAGCATGCCTGTCTTCACCTGTCTCAACATGCTCTGTGAGTCAGTTACAATCATGGCTTGTGTGTACAGCTGAATCTCAAGCCAGTGGAAGGAAGCAGAGACTGCCTCCACCTCCATTATAAAACTAGACCTGATATCATATGCAAGGCTTTGTGGCACTAAGCGACGTCCATTTGAATGCTATGAACGTCCATGCACTTCGTCTGCCCCTCAACACAGATCCATCTGTATAGATAATCACATAACATGGGCGGGAATTGTTATTAATCATTTGCTGAACTTCTGATTCTGCAGCACCAGCTGGCCAGTCTCTGCACTCACGACCTAAAGTGATTAGAACCCTACACACAAGTCTGAAACTTGTTCGGAGACCTTGACCCACTCCTCTCCACGCTCAAATTTATCAAGCCTGCACACGTCTAATTGTGTCTTCAGCTTGCGCCATACAAAACCTTCCACCTTCCTCTTTTCAGCCTGTAACCCTTAGTTCTACCCAGGGCTTCATGCAGGAGGTACTTCTTGTCTGCAGCTACTCTGAGATATGGTTTTGCCTGCAGAACTTTAAGCCTATCTGCAATAGTAGGCAATACAAGTATGCACACTGAGAGTATTCTGTATTCTGTAGGTAGGTGGATGGGTCATTACCTGCACAAGACTGCAAGTTACACCTGACTGGTGTAGCCATTACGGGAAGCCCCAATGATAACTCCTCTGGAGGTTGAAAAAGGGTATCCAAGATCTGCTTTGTAGGTCTACCATCAGACTGATATTTTTTTATCTCACAATGGTATGGTAAACCTAAAAGTGGCAGCCTTGAATGTTAAATGTTGAAAGTTTAATTAGGAATCAACATCACAGAACTAAGGACAACCCCATAAGCGCTCTGTCTCCATCTTAAGCAGCAAGTGGAGTTAAAATTCCGATGGTATCAGTAAATGTCTGATTGTATATCCGTCTCGCCTTTCCCCTGAGTGGCGAGTGTCAGCCAGATCCCCTTGTAACTCCTTGTAAGTGCCAGCAAACCAAGTACAACATATCATACTACATGCCACACCAAAAAAAATACAAACAACAATACAATTGGACTTACTATTCAGCAGAGTCATTGAGCTGATATTCTCTAGACCGACTAAAGCATTCTTGTACACCCACGTCTTTCCACAGCCGCTTCATGATTGCAGAAAGTTCCGGAGACAGCTCGCCCTCATCTGCCTGGCCAGCCAGGGCAAAGAATTGGCGAGCATCCTCCTGTCGACAGAATACAAGAAACATATAGTGTTTGATCTTTTCAATAAGCAAGAAATGTTTTGGTCTTTTTCATATTTTATTTGGTTTCAATTAGGGCTGTACCGAATATTCGCTTCGTATTCGCTTCGGGGCCGAATAATGGACCGAATAGCTATTCGGTATTCTGCCGAATAGTATCGGTCGGGCCGAATACGAATAGTGATTTCTGCATACACTGCGATGGACTAAAATAACTCTCTCATTAATAATGTCACAACTTATAGCCGACTTTTCTTGATTTTCGCCGCGGCACCCCTGGCATACGCACCCAGTTTTAGAACCTCTACTGTAATGCCTCGGAGGAGTCAGCAGGCGCTGTTACCACGCAACCGGGTCGCAGTTTTCCCCGCTACGACAGATTTAGGCAACGCTACTGTTGTGTTAAAGAAGGCAGGAAGAAACTTGAAAGTTAAAATTTAAATTCACTGACGAAAAAGGTTTTTTTTTTCCCCTCGTTTCACACTCAAAGTGTATCATACTGCATAAAATGTCGACAGCAGCTTGTTAAAAATTGTCTTTGTATTTATCCTGACATGCGACCAAGCCTCCATCTGTATTCGTGAAGGTGCGTGACTACATTTTTGCTCAAATTTTGAAGTGGAAAATGTGGTATGAACAATATTAACTGTTAGCCTCGTCAAGCACATATCTTTAAAGGCAATGCGTTCTTTTTTGTTGCTTTTGTGCGTGTGTATCTGTCTGTGTGAGAGTGAGTGAGTGAGAGAGAGAGAGAGAGAGAGAGAGAGAGAGAGAGAGAGAGAGAGAGAGAGAGAGAGAGAGAGAGAGAGAGAGAGAGAGAGAGAGAGAGAGAGAGAGAGAGAGAGAGAGAGAGAGAGAGAGAGAGAGAGAGAGAGAGAGAGAGAGAGAGAGAGAGAGAGAGAGAGAGAGAGAGAGAGAGAGAGAGAGAGAGAGAGAGAGAGAGAGAGAGAGAGAGAGAGAGAGAGAGAGCATGCATTTTTCGTTCTTTCGGGGTGTCTTTGCCCAAATCAAATTGAAGATATTGCGAACAAGATTATGAAGATGCATTTAAATTACGCCGAACGAACGCCTGAACAAACGATGATTTAAATGCGAATTTGGCACACGGATAAAATCAGATGAAAGATGCATTACTAAAATAAAAAACAAAATAGGACAGGCAAAAACTGCATTTTATTTTTAAAAAAAAAACATCTTATGCAATATATCGTTGTCTTGCTTGCTACATACATCCAGTTTTAACATATGGCTATGAGTCCTAGACAATCGGTAGCCAGGCCAAACAATTTTTGAAGCCTCAGAGATGTAGTTTTACAGAACAATGCTTAAAATACCTTGGACAGCCTAAAAAAGGCAACCACTAGGTTTTGAAAGAGGCGGGAGCCTGACAGACATCAGAAAGAGACAGTCATCATTTTTCGGCTATCTTATAAGAAGAGTGAAAATGGAACATGTGGTGACCACTGGAAAGATTTGTGGAAGGCGAGATAGAAAAAGACAATGAGAGAAGATTCTTGAGTCTTGTTGCATGTCATGGAGGTGTGTCAGCACACGAACTGATACACGCCGCAGGAGATCGCAGATTGTGGCGAGGCAAAATTGCCAACACCAGTCGGCAAGGCACCTGATGATGATGATACACTATTTGTATTCATATTCGGCCGAATAGTTGGTCCCACTATTCGTATTCGGCCGAATAGTGAAAATCACTATTCGGTACAGCCCTAGTTTCAATATCCAACGTCTTTCTTCTTCATCTATCTTTTTTTTTTTCTAAAATGTAAATGTGCTGTGTCTGTTTTTGGCAGTGTTGCGACACTAGGGAACCATCGCATATTGTCTGATCTTTTAAACATACAAAAGTTTTTGTTTTTTTCATTTCATATTTTAAAAAGGAAAGAACCCTTTTCCACGGCTTCAGGCGTATTAGACATACATGGCTAGACATATACTTGAATGACCAATCCACACTTGGTCGGCGATGTAGTCAACATCGTGCCGGTCGCTTTTCTTCTCAGGACTGCGCCTGGTACCCACTCAAAGCTGAACACCTAACATTGTGTAGGGGGGTTGTGTTAGGGCCAGTTTCTTCTCCATGTTTTGTAGCTTTGAAAGTGCTAACTGAAATATACAACATGTGATATTAACAGAACACCCCCGTAATCTTGTGCCAAGGTGACAAGTTTCAGGAACTACTAATCAGAAGTGAGCTAGTGTGTATATGGGTGGGGCACAGGGAGATTAATGTTGCGTGTACCAAAGAAGGTTCTCGTTGTGGACAATATGCTCAACGACAAAAAACATGGTCCCCTGTTCCAGACGCACAAATTTCCCAGAGCCAAAAGTCAAGTGCTCTTGTCACCAGAACCGTCTATCAGCGTAATCAATCACAGGTTCGCACATGCGTCAGCGAAAGTATGTTTGACTTCAGCCCATAACAGACGTCAACTGCAAATGCAACTACTTTACATTCAGTCTAATACTGACAGGCATACACAGAAACAAGTGTACAGGACACACTAGACAACATAAAAATCGAGAGCTACAGACTTTTTTCTCATTGCTGCCTGAATATGGGCACTCTTGTGGGCCATCAACCAATAATTTTGTAAGAAGGCTAGCCAACACCCCTTTAATCATGTTTAGTAATTTTCATATTTATAATATTAAGATTAAACAGCTCTGAATTCAATGGTTAAACACCAGTAAGGCAATCAAACTTAAAATGTTGAGAGCATGCAACTTCCCTGTAGCAACATACAGATTGAGTCGTGGACTATCTCCCAGTCCTTAAGGAAGAAAATGTGGGTCTTGAGCTACAGACAGATTCTAAGAAAACTGTGGACAGAGAAGATCAGAAATACTGACATTCTTAGAGATCTGGACACCAAAGAAGATTGGCTAAAAAAAAACAGCATCTTGTCTCAGAAGCTGGAATACTTTCATCATATCAAGCACCAAGGCGGACTGGAAAACATAACAGCAGAAGGCATGGTAACCGGAAGGAGGCGCAGGGCCTGACCAACACAAAGTCAGCATCTGTGGCTTAGGAGTTGCCAACGCACTTGGTATGGCCGGAGTGCCAGGTTCAATCCCATCTGCGGGTCTTGCGCGTTGCAATGGTTTCCACAGTGGTATGGAGAAGCCAAGAAAAACCACAACAGTAAAAAAAAATGCTGGGGTTGGTTCTGCAACGTCCTGTAAAGGATACGCAACTAACAACGTCAACTAACTAAACAACATCGTGACAGGACCTGCCTCGTGATGATGATGACTATATTTATTTACCATTCAGCACAGTACCATTAGGGAACCCCCGTGGTACATTGGATAGAGACTCGAGTGAGGATCGGAATATCGCGGGCTCATTCCCCGGCGGAGCCGGACTGTTTTCAGAACATGATCTTGACTCCCAGGTCGACCCAGCCTTGAGTAGGTACTATGTGCAATCCTGATTAGTAAAGGCGCTCCGGGTGTGGGGGGGAGGGTTCCATCCCATCCATATTTTCTAGGCAAAGAAAGGAGTGCTCTAGGCCCAAACCTAGTTTGAAATAATCTCTTCTTTCCATGAGTGCCAATCATTACATATCTGTTTGTTTAGTGAACCGTTACTGCGACCTTCAGAGTACTCCGCCAGGAGCGGGTTCGAGTCCGCACCCAGCGGGATTACTTTCACAAATAACCTCGCCTCCCTGGTCGACCCAACCTAAATTGGGTACCCGGTGCTATCCAAAAAAAAAGAAAGAAAGAAAGAAAGAAAGAAAGAAAGAAAGAAAGAAAGAAAGAAAGAAAGAAAGAAAGAAAGAAAGAAAGAAAGAAAGAAAGAAAGAAAGAAAGAAAGAAAGAAAGAAAGAAAGAAAGAAAGAAAGAAAGAAAGAAAGAAAGAAAGAAAGAAAGAAAGAGCAGAAAGTGTACAAGAAGTCAGACAACACATCCGACCTCTCTCTCTCTCTCACGAAATCACTGAGGTAGGTAGGGACAGACAGGTCAAGTGTTGTGGCGGAGAAACCTGCTTAGATCACCAACATTGGCGGTCCCGGGGTCGCTGCTCAGGCGGGAGGGGGTGGGGGAGGAGAGACTACAAGATACATGTCAGGCTGGCAAGGCTTGTGACACGGAACGACCAAATGAGAGGATATCAGATGGCATCATGGCTTCGAATACAAGCAGTTCATGAGAAGCAAGACTGGTGAGACACGGTTACCGCTGCTATAAAGCATAACAAGAAGCAGCAGGAGAAGGAGGAGGAAGAATAAGAAGAAAGCAGCAGCAGTAGAAGTAGTAGCAGCAGTAGCAGTAGTAGTAGGTAATAGGCAGGAGCAGCAGCAGCAGCAGCAGTAGTAGTAGGTAATAGGCAGTAGTAGTAGGTAATAAGCAGCAGCAGCAGCAGTAGTAGTAGTAGTAATAGTCCTAACTACTATATGCTTCTGTAATCTGGTAAATTCAAGGCGTCTTTAAGCCTCCTGACGTGCTGCACTGTAGATGGAGATTCGGAGTTCCGACCAACAACATTCTTGTCTGACACCCTCCACCCCAACAAAAAACTAGGCGCTATTTTTACCACGCCACCGCCGGAAGCGACCCAGACTCACTCGGGTGAGAAATCTCTTCAGAACCCTCGGCTAAGGTTCATTCATCACCACCATTATCAACCTGCACTTTTTCCTTAACTCTTTCAGTCCCAGGCAGCCCTAGCTAATTAAACCCACAGGTATATTCCTTCCACACGGGGCCCAAATACAGAAAAACTGTAGAATAATATGATGCCTGGGTTTTTTAAAGATTCCTTGACTAAACATTGGATATAAAAACATACATAACTTATTGATTGGTTAACATAAAGAATTTCCAGTCACCTACAGTGTGCTGGTTTGGGACAGAAAGAGCTAAAGCGTCGCGGGAGTGAGCAGTCTGCAGTCCAGTACTCGCCTTAGTCTCTCCGTGTGGAGATACGAGGAAAGCAGTGGTTAAGGGATGGGAGA